CATTCCTGATTTCTTAAGCACAAGTATTCACGTGTCAGTCGAGGGGATAAGAAATGTGTGAAAAAGAGCAGGCGTACAGGGAAGGGATATTCAGGGGTGAAGAGGGGAGTCTGCTTTTACCCTTCAGAAACACTTGACTCGGAAAAGGCCATCAGAGGACAGAAAAGGACTGTCAAAGGGAGGACACAAAAGAAATTACAACTTCAGGTCTCTAATCTGTTTCTGTTAAAGCGTATGACAGAATTCTCCCTGCCTTTGCTGACAGGCAAAATGGAACAAGGTATAAGACAGAAGTTGTTACTAGTGGATGGTATCGAACATAACTGCGTGATTAGTTAAAGTAAAACTAGAAACAGTTAAGAAGTGCTTATTGCAGAAAATCAGGCTGTAATTTACTGTTCTAGCACCAAGCATTTTCAGCAGTTGGTGCTAGTTAGCTTCTTTTCTGTCCTTTAGGAAAAGAAGTAATTGCTGTGTTAGTTAAATAGGATACCCATTCCAATTAGTGTTAAGAAGAATTAGTCAAATGTCTTGGAGAGTTCAGTGAGTAGAATTAAATGAGTAGTTTTCCAAGTTGAAATTTTAAAGAACGTTAATAAAGTACACGTGTAGCTTGCACTGTAGAAATTATTCAAATTTTGATTCTAATGGAAAGCTACGTTTCTAGTAGGAGTTTTAAATACATTTGCTTTCATCTTCTGCATTCATTAATAGTTGCTAAATTTTTTTATGACATCTGAGTAATTTTGAAAAGCAACTGATATTCTCAGCATACTCTCATTCTTCCTGTCACTGACGATGACTGTGATGATCCTTGAACGTGGGGTATTGTCTAGCAGAATGTTTTTTACAACTGAAAGATGTTAAACTACGTAATACAGAGGATGAGAATCATTGGTATTGAGACTCATAGTGAACCGACATTGTCTAATTATGAATAGTGTCACGTTATTTGTCAGAGCAATGCCATACAGTCATCGTTGTAGAGAAGTTGGCAACAGTTCCTGCACACTGGGACCCAAACTTGCCATTTTCCCCCCCTGTACTTCAAGGAGATACCAGCAATAAATATGTACTAAATGTATAGAAGTGACATTAACTTTTTAATTGGTTCCTTATGTACATTTCATTATCCTGAGGGAAGGAGACAGTGTTTATTTTAAATTAAAGTGTAAGATTGTTGTTACCAAAAAGAGAACGGGCTCTGAATTGAGCCAATGTTTTCCTTGTATTAAGCAAAATTAGTCATTCTAGAGGTACAAAAGGGACTCTATTGACTAACTCCTAGTTTCTTTGGGTTTTCACCTGGTTTTTATCTTTAAGTGACAGATTTTGCTTGAAAACCTGAAAGGCAAAGACTTCTATTAGTAGTGGATGATTTGGATAGTTAGGTCAGTTGTTTGAAAATTCCCAGTTCACCTTTTCTTTGTCAGTCACCCTCTGTGTGTGTATGTTTAATACCAACTCCTACTCCTTCCTCTCCAAGACCCTTACCTTCATGTCCCTTCATGTGAATATCCACGCTCCTAATGACCTACGTCAGTTCCTGCATCTGTGGACAGGGCCAATCTAAGTCATAACATTGTTTTGTACCAGGGCATTTACCGTGCTGTCGATATGTAGACATGCTTGTCAAGGTTGGTTCTCCAAGCGAGGTGAGATGCTTAAGAAATTGCACAGGGGAGGGGATAAACTGTAGGGCATATCAGAAGAGAAATGAGGACAGCCCAGTTCGGTGAAGGGAGAGTAAGAAGCAAAAAACCAGCACTTGATCAGAGGTGAGATAGGATCCATCGTCTACTTTTATATCATAAAAATGCAGCTCAAGTTCAGGGTGATAGATTTCTCATGACTTTTGTCAATTGTGTAGCTGTTAGGTACCATAAAGACGGTATAGATCATGGAAAGGGATGTTTAAGTCACAAGTGAGGATAATTCACACTGTAAGCACCTACGTTTACTTTCTCATGTGAAAGTGATAAAATACAGCAAAGTGCTCCTTTTTTGAGGTGACCTGCTTGCCCAAGTGTTGAAAGCATTAAGGGCAGGCAACCGTTTGCCACTCTATTTGATTACCTTCATATAGTAGCAAAAAGTTTTGTATAATGCAACTTCTATAGCATAATTTACTAGTTACCCATATTTAGCAGACTTTCAGAGAAAATAAATCACATTCATTAGTTATATTTTTATATTTTAAGCACAAACATGTTTAATTTGCCTCAATGGGTACAATAACAATTCCCCAACAAGGGCCTTCTGGCAGGCTGGCAGAGGATGCTGCTAGAAACACCAGCGCTGGCTGTATTAGCAAGAAATGCCTTTTTCCGGAGTGGCAAAAGGAGATATTGTTGGTTGAAAATACGGGTGAGATTTATTGCAGGAAGCTGGTCATTGCTAGTTTATTTATATGGGAAGGAAAGGAGGGGTTTAAGTACATAATAGTTGAGTTGAGGTAACAACTCATCATCTGGGTACC